GTAAAACATGGCAGGACTTAAAAATTCGCAACTCCCTCACCAGACGCAACGCAAAGCTGCAACAAACAGCAGGAGAAAGAGCATGTTTTGCTCTAGTTCCCGAGCAAAATTCGTAAACATATGAATATTTTCCAAGTTGTGACAATTTTTTGAATTTTTTGACCAAGCCAGGCTGGTTCAGGAAACATAGCTGGACAAACGTTTGAAAAACCACTCAAACACGCTCCAAACAGGAATAGAAAGAGAATGTTTTGACCCGGGAAAACTGTATATTCAACCAACCAGCAAAGTTCCTCAAATTCGTTATCGCTTTTTTATCTGGGATGTTCTTTTATATCGTCATCATAATACAGTTTAAAGTCGGGTTTGCTGACCTCACTCACTGAATATTCATCAGGCTCTCGTTTAATTCACTCCATAATTAGTTGATGACACAACGCGCTTGGCTGCGCGTTTTTCATAATAGTATTTTTAGTTTCACGCTGGTTGAGATTAGTTTTGAAAAAAATGCCTACACTCGCTTAAGTCACTGAGTGGAAAGCTAAGAAAATATTGACCAAAACAACACGCTTTCCTGCCATTTTGGTAAAAGTCGCTCAACTTTTACAAGTTCTAAAGCAAAATGCTCAAATTGGGAACAATTTCCTCATAAATAAATGGACATGCTTTCCCCAAAAGCAAATAGCGTAAATGTTGGTTGGTTTTGCAGTAAATATTCATAATTCCGACCGCAATGCAATTTTAAACAGCCATGCAGGCAGCATTTGGAGAAACGCCGGTTGAATTGAATGGCTTTTCATATAACGTCTGACCATATTTATTGCTAGAATTTATTTTATTCATTCGTCAGATTTTACCCTGGCTGATTCTTCAGCAACTTTGCATGAGCAAAAACTTTTAGGCATCAGGATCGTTGGCTTTAATGAGACTGATTGAAGTTAATAATCCAATAATCAACACCGATTTGGCAAAAACCCGACTTTTTCTCCTTGATGTCTTCATTACATTACGTTAACATGCGGAAATGGGACACTTTGAAGAAGGCGAACTTTGGGCTAATATTTAAGCGCTTTCTTCACTGAAAAAACTGCCGTCACAAACGCTCGTCCCCTTTTAATGTGCGCATTTCAAACAGAAACATGTTCCTTCCAGGTGGCCTGCTATTCAATACTTTTCGTAATTATTCTATGGGGAATATACGCCGAGTTGTTTGAACCATCGCAGTTTCATGTGCAATTCATCACTCGTCGTGGCGGAGTTGGAAATTTCCTGTTGGGCACTAAGCGCTATTTAATCAACATCTGCGGCCCGCAGAAAAATTCTCGATATCTCTTAAACTATCAAATATGCGAACCCTGAAACTACCCCCATGTAAATCGGGCGTTTCTCCCCCAAATTATAAACTAATTGGATCATGTTTATTCGCTTCGACGATCGATGGCTGTGGGGACTAAGATTGGTTTTCTTGCTTTAATTTCAGGTAGTTATTTATGGTTGAAGCGGCAGATAGATGGTAAAGATACTGCCGGTTTGGATAGAGTTTTTCTCAATTAAATAAATCACCTAACAGGATCGTTCCTATGGAATGTCCAATTTAAGGGTCCTTTTTTCGTTTGATGGATGTTTTTTTATCAAGCACTGTTATAATATACTTACAATGTAACTTGCGGGCAGCAACCAACCGTATGAACAAGAACAAAGTCTCGATGGAATCTCTATTTGAACATTCCTGACATTGAGAATGGGACAAATTTGCGACCCAACTTGGAGCATTTTCAACCCCCCAATTTAATATCAGCGAAATATTTAGCATTGCAGCCCACTTTTAGGGTGTCTCAATCTGAAGTTCGGAATGCGATAAGCTTGGCGCCCACCTAACTGCTGTATGCAAAAAGCAACCTTCCCAGCAAACAAACAGCAAAAAAAATTAAGAATGCTAATTTGCTGCCAGTGAGTCACAAGGCTGTTGCTGTTTAGTGGCTTTCAAAAACCACATCGCTGGATACCAAGGAATTGATATACCTAAATTGTTCTTAGAAGCGTGTATGACTGCACTTTTCAAGGTCCCACAATCATTAGCAGTGGCTTTGTAACACTAATAGAGCCTAATTGCTTCGGTTCACCATTAAACTGAAACTGGAAAGGTCGCAGTGCAAAACGAACATATTTTTAAGCCTATTTCTGGGAGCGGAAAGTCGTACTTGAAACGATGTTGAGAGCGGGGAGATTTTTCAGAAAAGCCACTATAAACCTGAGACACAGTCCGAAAGAATCAAGAAGTTTACGTAGTTAGAGAGGAGAGTTCAAGAATGAACTCATCAATCAAGCAATCAGCGATGAAATCGGGAAAAGTCACCCAAAGAATGCTTTAGATCGCAACTAACCAGTTCGACCACCAGCTGTTATTAACACAATGTCAAAATTCCAAGTCAATCCTACATTCTGATTTGATATGACCGAAGAAGCTTCCCAAAATCTCATACACAGCTATTTGCCATTCGAGAACGTTAATTACCGGTCGAAGGAGTACATTGCTCGTATTTGTCGGGACATCATTGAAGACATTTTGAAGCAGACATACGACGAAGAAAACCCGATACTGTCGGCTCCTCTGAAGTGCAGCCGAAGTTCCCAAACCGATTCGGCCAAATTCCAAGATAATTACAATTTGACAGTGAAACAGCAGTTTTTTAAGAGATTGTTAGTAAGTTCCGTCTTTTATATGATCGCTTTGCTGTTGCCCGAATGGCTAAAGGCTCTTGACTGGAAGACTTGGACATAGAAATCATTTCGCTTGCTTGGGTATGAAGTTGCAAACAAGTTTTGCCCCCCATTTTCCCCGCTTAATTTTTTCCACATGTCAGACCTTGCAGGTGAATCTTGAAGCAATTCAAAATGCCTGGAATGGCTGAATTGTTTCGAAGTTCAACAAGAAGACACTATTTTGCGCATTCCATATTAGTGAAAAAAAATCTTCTATTTTTTTTTTTTACGCCAATCTGTGTTCCACACTTTCACTTCACATTTTTTATCATCTTTACAAAAGCGCATTGCAGAATCTCCAGTTCCATCTTCATGATCAACCTCATCATGTTTGTCTTCGACAACTCTTTCAAGATTACAACATATCGCAGGCAAAAACCTTAAAGAATTTCCATTAAATTTGATATAAAAATGTCGTGCAACCGTTAATAGCAACGATTTTTTGCGTTGGTCAAATTGAAATGCGATTTTCACGGTTGTACAATCCATCGGGTCAGAAATTTGATTTTCATGGCTGAGAACTAATGGGTTTTGCAAATACTTTGGGGAAAAAACTTGAACTAATATACTACTGAGGAATTATCAGCGTATTAAACTGCCAGTTTGATTTTCTTCAAGTTGATTTTTCAATGTGATTTTAGCATCTAGAATAATTATGGTTGAAACGCAGCGAACCAGACCAAGAGTAGCTAAATACGGGGACGATGATGAGCCGCAGGAGCTGGAAGATTTGGTGTTGTTTCCCGAGTTTGTCGAGGAGCCGTTTGAAATAGTCGAAATCGAATTTGACGGCTTTTCACTAGCTGAATTGGACCTGAATTTGCCTGATTACTTCATTGAAGAAACAAACTTTTATCCGGGAAACACTCAAGAGGATCACACCGAGAAGATCAGAGACATTTTGGACACAATGGGTTTCACAATCAACTGCACGCTCGCAGAGATTTTTAAGGCAAATGAGAATGTTTTCCCTGCAAGTACTTACCAGCCCCAAACAAGAACCGCTGTAAATTACGACTTCGAGAAGGGCTTTGATGAGCTCAAGCAAATGTTCGAGCGAATTGAAACCATCAACGGAAACATGGGGTTTATGTTCAAACTGATGGTGTTCCTGTGCTTCCTCAATACGCTTTTAATATTAAAGATGACCATGTTTGATAGTGTTCCCGACCTGGGGAATGTTCTAAGCAACCTTCCATATTAAATCGATTCCATTTGGGTGATTTTTTCAGTAAATGCGAGTCGCACAGCTCAAAACGTGCCCATTTGTTCAAAGAGGAAAATTTGCCTTTATTTTTAGAAAAGTCACGTCGTGGGAGATTAGGCTCTCCCATACCGTAAAACTTTATGCCGTTAGCAACGCAAAGCCTCAACTGATAACTTTTAATTGGCATTATAAAACGGGCTGTAATCATATATCTTCACATATGGTCTGAGGGAAATAAAAAATACTTTGTTGAACGCCCGAGAAATTACGTGATAACCTTTATTTACAAGCCGCAACTAAAAAAGTTTGGAAAAACAGCGTGTTCGATAGTGGGATTTGTGTCGGAACTTCCAAAGCCAAGAAAAAATGCACCATGAAGATTTTTGGGACTTTTTTTATTATCGTGTTCAATTGAAACTCTATGCTAATGTTCTTGGTCTGTGTTTCATCAACTGCTCCTAATCAATCACTTATTTTACTGTCTGATCGCAAGGATTTTTCGCTTAGATTTATTTAAAGCTGGCGTCGCTTTGATTATTTTATAAAAACATTTCATTATGGCAATTGAAGATAAAGTTGAGTAAATTGCAACAGGACAAACGACTAACACCTAATCCGATGTCACTAATTTCCGCATATCTCCAATAAGAGTGGCGCCTAAGTAAAACTAAGGTCCAAGTAGACACTTTCTATTCTTAGTTTCCTTTATAATAGTGGTTCCATTGTGATGGACGGAAAACCTGAAAGCAAATTGCAGGCCAGCCCCACAACCTTCTTAGAAATCCATTTGATCGTACCAGATAATGAACGAAAAGACTCCTCGATGGCACCAAGTGGTTCCTTTCAAGTTGGAGATAAATGGTTCTAGGATTAGCGCGAAAGGTGGTTGACAGTTTGATTTTGTCGTTTTTTTTGCTTTGCAGCAGTTAATTTCGTGTGAAAGCTGGAAGGATCTTCAATCGCCAACTAACACACTTATTGTGAATGTGTTCGAATCCATTAGGCTACAATGTAGGAAAAGTGTTGGCGTGGCGTTCGTGGTCTACTTAATCATCTAATTGATACACGCCAAGGTAGTCTAAACACTGCAAATAGCTTAATAAGCCCAGAAGTGAAAATTACTTAAATTAAGTTGGTTTAGCAGTTTCACAGAACTGAATTAGGGCGGGATTATCTGGAAACCTCCTTCAGCGTTGATAAATAGACAGTTTTAAAAAAATTATAACCACTCAATGTACTGTTTTACATAATCCCCGACAGAACATTAGAATTTTGCATACAATGCGGCCTAAAAACACTTTTATATACTAATTCAGAAAACGTGGGATGTGTCGCTTATCCACGAAAGGAAGTCAGTCTCTTTACAAGTTTTAGAAATTAGACTACATAATGGCATGCATTTAATACACTCATTCAACATGAAAAATAGATTAATGTTACAAGAAAATGATCAACCGCTTTCGGATTTTCCCTGTGTTTTGCTCTACTCTGGAAGCTTTAAGTAAACTTTATGGTTTTTTAGAACTTTTTCGAAATTTTGGAAGTAGTTTAAGGTAGTTGTTTCATAGATTTGTAGACTCAGCGTTCTTCGAAGTGATAGTTGATGAGGAGTTTCGATCGAAAAATAAGTTTTTCAAATGTGAATTTTGCGGAAGTTTGCTTTTTAAATTTTCCGAGTTTCTCTTTGTGGCTTTCTAGATTGACTTTGGTCATCAATTCTTCAGAAGCAGAAATGAATGCGGTTTTAAACGAAAATTAGCTGTTGAACAAGATAATTCAAAACTTACATTCTCCACTCCATTCGAAAGCACTAAATCAATCCTTTACCATTTACAAATGCGTCTAGTCTTTTTATTTTTCCGGGCATATTTAATTTATGATTTTCGCCGCTTGCCGTGTAAGCTTGAACTTTCTTCCTGGACTTTAATGGCTTGTTTTCTGCGTTTTTAAACTGCAAACTCATTTATATCTTTAAGCCAATTTTATAGCATATTTCCACGACACCGTTTTGATTTAAGTCCGGCATCTAGATCGCTTTGCGAGACGTTTTTGCAGAAACGCAACCGGATAATAATGGCAATAAATTCCAAAGTAAAGCTGGGTTTTTCAGCTCAAAACAGTTTGGGAGTTTTTCGAGCTGCAACGGTTTGTTCAAGGCGAGAGCTAGAAAATTTGGCAAAAACACCCATGTGCAAAGGTTGCCATTTCCTTCACGAGCATCTAGTGCGTTTCGCAAAATCCACCGGATTAAATGGAAAATGTTCCCCAAAATCATGGCTGAAAAATACGGGCTTCGCAGAACGATCTAGCGTGGCCTAGACCCTTGCGAAGGGTGAATTCCTTGCGCAGCCCCTTCATTCTATTCCCAAACCATCGACGCCCAAAACAGATTGGATAATTTTTTATTTTTTTTTCATTTCCTTTGACTTTTAATGCGCTGATGCTATTGAAGGTTTCTTTCATTAAGTGGTGGACCAGTCACCAACAGGCCAAAATGTTGCAGTTAATGGACAGGCATTGATGAAGACATTGAACTAATTCTCATCATGTTTTTTTTAATCAAAGCGCCCTTGATATGAGGAAAAGCCCCAGAATAATGGGGCAAAAGTAGTGCGCCAATAAAGAGACTTTTCATATATCGATGGTTCACCCTTGAATCCCCCTATAAAAGCAGAATGAGATAGGAAAACGACGTTCCCTTGTCAGGCAGGGGTGGCTTACTACAGAGTTGATGAACAAAATAATTAAATATGAAACTATAAACAGGTGTTTCTAATTTTTTTAAAGTCCCAAACGCACCTGGATTGCCGTCAATTAAATAGACTAAAATCGATAACTTTAGCTGAAAGCGGACCCAATATGGCTTGACAATTAAGATCCGATGTGATGAAAAAAAATTTATCTGAGACCAGCCTTGAAGAGTGCGAATGATTCTTTTGCCTCATTATTGTTTATCTATAAATTCGTCACAATCGATGTTTGAGAAATTTAAGGTCATTTCACATAAGGCCACTGTCGCAATTTATCTTCATCTGAGGGTCAGACTGTTTTTGGCTAAACGATAAACGACACAATTTATTAGATTTTCTTTATGGCTAGAACGTGGTTTTTATCGGAGTTTAGTGGCAAATATTTGCGATCAACAGGGTTAAAGAGTGAAGAAAACAGTCCTCATACACATGGGTATGTACTGAACACTTTTTGTTCACTTGAGAAATGCACTTAGATGATGCAAAATTGCAACTAGCCACACAGTGATGTGGTTTTATTGGAATTGGATTTGGCTGTTTGGCAACAATAAAGCATGATCCAAGACAAAAACCTGAAAAAACATCGATTAGCCAACATGATAACCGTATCGATAAAGCGTTTATTTGATTATGCCGGCTTGGTTATTGGATATTCGCTTTGGACGATCGATTTTATTCGCAATGACGCAAGAAAAAGCTGTTAACGCATTTGTTATTGAAGCACCGAAAATGGCGGAGTTAAGTGCCATTTGGGTCAGTTAAATTCGTCCCTGCTTGATCATTTTTGCATTGATTTATCCAACATTTTTTTGCAAACCAGGGATAGAAAAATGGCCAAACAGTTTTTAAAAGTTTGCAATTTAGAGCCCAGAATCGAGAAACTCAGCACACAGAAATGCTGAAAGCTTGAGGAAAAATCTTGCACTTTTCGGCCTGACATTGGCCTGGAAAAAACCCTCACAGATTCATTTGTTCAGTTTTTTTAGACGTTGAGTCGTAGTTGTTTTGGGCCCTTCATTGTTTTGATAATTTTTTGCCCTTCAACGGATCCCGTTCTAAGCCTGTTAAGAGCCTCTTCATCCTGTTTTACCTCTCCAGATGTTCCGATGTTAGACTTTTTTCACACTCTCTTACCAGTAGACGTTTTCCAACCAAAACTTGCCTATCGGTTCATCTTTTATCATGCTTTCTGTTGACAATCGGGCTCGGCGCAACTTCGACATTCAATTCTTTTTAACTGCATTTGTTGAGCCGAACCCTTCGGTCACGACACTGGATTACGAGCAGAAAACACTATTTTTAGGAATTATTTAGCGTTTATTGACTTGCACAACTTTCAGGCCTCAATGTGTTTGCTGTGCCAAGCCCTTTTTGGGAACTAAAACTTGCTTTGCAATGAATATTGCGCAACTTCGCCTTTTTACCGCGTCAATTGGTTTGCAAATAATAGCAAAAACGTGTTAGAATCCCGCTTCTAAAGACCTTAATTATCCCATTATGACTTGCAATTTTTGCAGGTCAAATTCAACTGGTTTTTGTGCAGTTGCCGAATTTGGCTCTTTTGTTGGCTGTTATTAAAGGAAATCTCATCTAAAAACAACAGCACAACTTTGGGAAAAACTGGGCTTTTTTCGTTTGCAACCATTTGTTAACTTTTCGTTCCTTCGAGTCGATTGGCGACGTTATCAATGAAATGTGATAAATCATTTCAAACGAAATAAGAGAACTGTGGAAACCTTTTAACTGAACGTTGATTTTCTCCAGAAAATCAGCGTATTTATCTCAACTAATGTCGAGCAGTGTTCAATAGCAAAAAAACACTTAGACACAGGAACCAATGAAAATGACGAGAAAAAGACGCGCGTTATTAATCATAGCTTAACATTTTGATCGCCACATGCCATTAAAAGCTGGAAAGAAGGTGCAGTCTGGAATTTCCCTTCGTTGTGTTTTCCACTTTCCGTTGAAATATCAAGCTGTCGGTTTAATAAACTTGAGCAAAATATAATAGAAATGTTTGTCTGCGTCAAAATATTTCCGCGTCAAGGCCTGTCTTGACGGTAAATAATGAATAAGACAGACACAATAATGGCACAAATGGGTCGATGATTTATTGTTTGTTGCCATTTTTACTTGTGCAACTCCAACGGATGGAGGAAGTGAAAAAACCCTGGCAATTAACAAAGCCAAAACTCTATCAATATCCCAATTAACTAATGAAAAACGCTTCAGTTTTAAATCAGATAATCAACCTTCTTGAA